CCTTTGGTCCTGGCTCCAGTGGTCCTTTAGGACAGGTGGTCGCCTTATCCGAGTGGTCGCCTTGACAGGTTTTACTGTATGGTCTCTGTTACCAGGTGGTCTCCTTATCCAGGGTCAATTGACTGGAAATAGCATCCTTTGGTCCTGGCTCCAGTGGTCCTTTAGGACAGGTGGTTAGGCCTTGACGGATTATGCTAATATTTTCGTGAAATTATGCTTTTCGCATTGCTGAAAAAATTGCAGAATTATGCTATTTTTATTGTAAAAGTTACCATATTATGCCGCATTATGCTCACATATGCTGCTAATGCAAAATGGTTCTGTGCAAAATAACAAGGGAATTTTTTTGTAGAGGGCGTTGTACTGTAGTAGCAAAAGTTCAACGGGGTCAACGCATCGTCCGACCTGGCTACGACCATCACTGATTGTAGTGGACTGGACTTCATCAAGGGAGTCGTAAACCTACAACTTCCTAGTGCATCTACTTGTACTTGTACTTGTAGAACATGTACAACTGTATGGAATTTGATGCGAACAGGCGGATTATTACAATTTTATGCGATTCGTATGCAATTTGCCTCGAATTATGCGATTATTCGATTCTGGTAGGAATTATGCGAAAAATTATGCTAGCATAATCCGTCAAGGCCTACAGGTGGTCGCCTTATCCGAGTGGTCGCCTTGACAGGTTTTAACTGTAACTCAGGTATTGTAACACACATTGAGGTGATGGGTCACAACGATGATCACGCGCTACATGTACATGTACATGTATGTATCGTATTTCAATTTGAAAGTACAGTCAACTTCGCTAATAACGACTTCGGATATAACGACAATTCGCGAATAACGACAGCATTTCCATGCCCAGAGCAAAGTCCCTTCCAACTGTAATACATATAATGAGACTTCGGGTATAACGACACTTCGCGAATAAGGTCACTTTTTTGATGCCCCGTCGAGTGTCGTTATAAGCGAAGGTGACTGTATCCGCCTTTTAAAGTGCGATGAAAGGTGAGATATAAGACGTGTTGCACTACCGATACTTCCTGTTGTTAAATTACTGCCCGGCGTGTTTTTACCGTCATATTGCCAGGTGCGTGTTTACCACCATAATTATGAATAAAGTTTTGTGTTAGGCTTCCGCACGCTCGTGCACATCACCCAGCTATCTAGCAGCCACTTCCAGACCAGTCAGATCCAGTTTGATCCAGCGGACGTCTTATACCATTATCTCTCCAACAGCAAGAGGTTCTACTGCCGTCACGAAGAGTTGAGGCTGCCGACTGTTCAGCATGGGCGTTCTGTTTATCGTCATACCCGAAGGGATATCGGTTGAATTTGGATGCTGCGGCACCTGTGGCCTGCCGATTATCAACAAGAGCAAAGTGGACTTCGGATCGAGAATCTACGGCCCAAATGGTGAACTTGCAAAATTCGGCTCGAATGTCGTGAACGTCGGCTATGGAGCATCCGTCAAAACCTATCTAGTGACAGGATTGTTCTACTTTAGTGCCGTTACGTGTAAGCGATGCAACAGCAAAGTAGGAGATTTCTGCGCGTATGCGTCTGAGCCTTCGGAGAAACACAAAGAGGGTAACTTTCTTCTGTTGATGCACCGAATCAAGATACAGAACTACTAACTAGACAAGAGCATTGTCATACTGGTGCTAGTGATCGCGCTACTACAGCTGAGCAGGAGATGTCAGCAGACGATAACAAACAATTACATGCGACGTTCACTTGTGGTAGCGGTATGTTCTACGAATTGAGTTTGCACCTGAAAGTGCCTACTAGCGACGCACTGGACTTCTTTTCCGAATTGGACTACATCATAGTGACGTTCTCTTACGTGCAGAAGGATTTACGGAACGGACGTGTAAGCCAGCACAGAAACGGTTCATTTCTCCAATGAGTGTCTGGGTGGCAATCTTTGTGTGCAAATCTGTGTGTGTGCATGTGTGTGTGTGTGTGTGAGAGAGAGAGAGTTTAATGTCTCTACTGTATTGTTTGGTCTCATCCGTCGTCGTCACATATACAGCTGTCTAGTTCTATGTTGTTGCTTGTCGAATGTAAATATGTGGAATGAACAAAATGGATGACGTATCGGATATAGAAATTCAAATCCTATTGTAGTATGTCTGCTTACTTTTTACCCGTATTGGAACAGCAGCACTCAATAGCCGCGGTCAATGTATGTTTACTGGTGTTCATCAAAACCAGCACTAAAACGATGCACCATGTCTTTCTGATTTCATGCATGACCTACCAGTCTTGACCATTATCGTAGTGTTATGAAACGATACGTGTATATTATTGTTTTTCTGTGTGTTGACATTCCTCAAGCTTCCGTCTCGTCTGGTCGCGTTCATGTGTGATATGAACATGCGAAATGTTGTAGTTGAGAGGCCTTTTGTCAGTCTTCTCGTTCGTCTCATTGAGAGTAGTTTGCTTTTCCCGCCATGTCGCAGTCCTGTGTTTCCGTCATGTCAATATAATCATGTAACAAACAAGTATAAAAACAAACAAAGTATATTTCCTTTGTGTCCTGCGTCCCGGGGAAGGAAATGGCTATGATTCCGTGCCATGATCATGCACCAAAATATCCCGATCCGCCCGGTGTAATTATATCAATCCAGATGCAGAAATTGGAAAATACATGTACACTTGAAATTTCTTATCCGGGCGCCTTGGGAGCGGGCACTGCCCGTATCTCAGATTCGCCCTTGTCTCCCAGACTCAGGGCAGCTCAACTACTCATGGAACATAATAATAATAAGTACTTGAAGTATTATCATTTTTTTGCTCACGTTTCTTCCACACATCTTTCTCATATTCAGGATTACCGGTAACAATCAGTGTTGCCAACCGCCCATGTTTGTCCGTATTTTTACGGAAAAACGAAGCTTTGTCCGCAGTACGAATTTCCATCGAATTATCCCGCTAACGATCATGTATGATGGATTACTAAAACCTTCGTAACTCCATCGTTTCTTGTGCACATTCAACACTCGAAGCGTCTACGCGGTAGCGAAAACTCCCAACTGTCCAATCGCCGAAGAGTTACGATGTCGGCCTTCAGAGATATCGCACCGTATTCTTACCTCGGCAAATTTAATTTTTTGATCCATCTCTTCGCCATATTAGGGGAAATCTCTTTAGGTGTGCTCTTTAGGCGACGGAGCAGTAACCGTGCGAGACGCGATTTCAGGCATTTCCGAAATCCGCCAGCAGGAAAAGACGCCAAAAGCAATGGCTGTGAAGAAATCGCCGATAATTGCGCTAAATTTACAAGTTTCTCCCTGAATTCGACGAAAATCGATGTTGTAGTGCATGTACAGCTTGCATGTAAATGTATAGTATGCTGTGAGCTGTGACTTCTAGTTGTGATGTGAGCTGAATTCTGACTTTGAGGCTCATAATATGGCCGAATTTGGACATTCTCTTGGCCGATCGAAAAGCCGATTAGGCGACAAAATCGCGAAATACCTAGTCACGGGTAGCGGAGGCGACAGCATTGTCAAATCGCGGTGCAGTTGGAGATTGCAAAGCAACGATACATTTCTCTTTCACACGTTCTCGTGACCACCTGCTAATTGTTACACACGAACAGAAAACCAGTTTCGCTTGAGACAGGCCACCACCATAGCCGGTGTACATTTCTGCGCGGGAATATACTCAACAGGCGCATTGTATACATATATGTTGCATACACCAATATACACCACCACCGACGCTATAGGCTCTGTGGCCGACCACACGCACTACCTACGACAACACGGCACCAAGCCACGTGCACGAAACGACTGCGATGTGAGCTAGCACATTCTCCAGTAGAGAGTGCTAAAAATCGCAGGACGGATTCGCACGCCTTTGAGTTTGACACCGTGGGTACATCGACATGTATTTTCACCTTGAGATTCGAAACGTTCACACCAAATGGAGTGCGCAGTATCAAACGTCTCCTGTGTCTATCACATCTCCCCGGTTAAAGGGGAAGTGCATCGATTTTTCGAGTATGGTCCAGAAGAAAGACAATTTGATATCGGTTCGAATGGCATATCTCTCGCTTCCATACGATAAGCCAAACTTGCCAAATCGCCAATTGTATACTCACGTTGCCATAGCGACCAGCGCAGTGATGACGTACGAAAGGCTTAGCTCCACCACAGAGAAGGTCGATCACTGCAGAATTTGGTCATTTTCAATTGGTTTATTGTATTCACGAAGTGAAAGAAGGGCTGTGTTCAATGCTGTAAGTGCAGTGAACTGTTTGTTAGTAGTCCTCTCGGTTATGTACTGGGACGTGACACCGACAGGAGAAAGCTGGAGCGCGGAGACACCAGCAGACAAGCGAAAATAGTGACGAACAAAATGCTGAAATCTTGGTTGGGACAAATCAGACGTTCAGCATTTCCCCCAACCAAGGACCATGCCGTTTGCTCTTTCCACTTCCTGAAGATGAATGTGATGCTTCCTGGCGACTCTCCTATCTATCGTAACATCTTCTGAAGCCAGGTGAGACGACGGGTGGTGGAGATTGACGAATGAAATAATGTCGTAGGTTTGAAAGTTTGCTGAAAATCATGGTCTCAGGAGAGACGGCGAATTCCAAGCATCTTGTCCTGGAGGAAACCATTTCCTAGGCACAGTCAGCCTAGGGAAATGCATGAGAAGGGCGACAAATAGTTCACGGCACTAACAGCATGGAACACAGCACTTCTTTCACATCGTGAATACAATAAGACAATTGAAAATGACCAATTTCTGCAGTGATCGACCTTCTCTGTGGAGGAGCTAAGCCTCTCGTACGTCATCACTCCGCTGGTCGCTATGGCAACGTGAGCATACAATTGGCGATTTGGCAAGTTTGGCTTATCGTATGGAAGCGAGAGATATGCCATTCGAACCGATATCAAATTGTCTTTCTTCTGGACCCTACTCGAAAAATCGATGCACTTCCCCTTTAACGTCTAGCGCGGACTAGCGCCAACCGGAGGTGTAAACAGTATCCGCAGCAGCGCGCCTTGGGTCAAGTACCTTAGTTGCGAGACTAAAGTTTGGGCCCGCGCCAGTTGGAAACTCACTTCAACTTTCGTCCACCGTGCAGTGCAGTGACGACTTTGTTCAGCGGTTGCCAGCGCAGGAGCCCTAGGCTGCAGTCCTCCAACTTGTCCAACCCGGCAGTTCCGGCACAATGGCGTATCAAACCATCCACTGGACCGCCGCCCAACGCTACGGTAAGCGAACAAAACGTTGACTACTAGTGTGTGCTTCGCTTCGTAGTGCTACTTTCATTCCTCGTGCCGGTTGCAATGCTTGAAAGAAAATGTTTTGTACGAACTTAGAAGTTGCGACTTCGGTGGCATTAGTCCTGAAGTAAGGTATTGTATTTGTAAGTTGGTTGTTCCAACGAGGAACACAAGCGTTTTGCCGGCAAGAAGCGTGTGTTCCTCGGTGGAACAACCAACTTCATGAAAGGTTTTGTATCTAGCCAATTGCTTCCATTAATTATCATGCGTCTTCGGTAGGCGTTCTTGTACAGTACCATCGGTCGGCGAAGAACTGTGGGGTCAACCTCCTAGCGTACCCTAGACTAGACTGTTCCTGTTTCCTGTGCAGTCTTAGCGCAGTCGATTCACCGTGTATACATAGGCATGCTGTGCTTGGTAAATTTCTAGCCTGGTCATTCTTCGGCGTCCCGTTCTTTGGCACTCCGTTCTTCGGCACTCCGTTCTTTGGCACTCCGTTCTTCGGCACTCCGTTCTTCGGCACTCCGTTCTTCGGCACTCCGTTCTTCGGCACTCCGTTCTTCGGCACTCCGTTCTTCGGCACTCCGTTCTTCGGCGCCTGCCGACAGTACTGTTTTCTTTCTTGAATCCCAAGAGCAAACCAGTTACCAGCCCAACTACTGTCGTGGACATGGAAATCCGGTCGCAAGACTAGCGGCCACGGGGCGCTGGCCATGCAGCCATGAGTAAGCAATAAGCAGTGCTCACATGCGCTGCAGCATGCTGGTCGCATCGGATCAACAAGCGCACTGCGTGCAACGCTCTGTACTGGCTGAGGGCGCCGGTCCTGGTCATTCGACTGGATTTCCATGTCCACGACAGAACATCACAGCGTTCTTAGGGATTTGAATGTCAAACTAGGAAGTGGAGTTGAGTAACCAATACAGGGATAGGGTTGTCTAAAGATTGGTTCTATTGCCATGAAACTCTGAGTGACAACAGAGTGAAACATCCCGCAATTCTGAACTTTTGAAATTAATTCAATTTCAGTTGTTCGCTTCTCTACAGTAGTCGATATGCAGTTTGTTTGTTTGTGTACAGTCAACTTCGCTAATAACGACTGCGGATATAACGACAATTCGCGAATAACGACCGAATTTCCATGCCCAGAGCAAAGTCCCATCTAACTGTATACATTTAACTTCGGATATAACGACTATCTGAATAACGACAATTCGCGTATAGCGACATGCTTTTAGTGCCCCGAGGTCATATTCACTGCTTGAATAACGACTTTCTGGGCTTTTGACAGCTATTTCAAGTACAGTGTGCAGTACCTGTCAGTCAAGTACAATCATGTACCTGTCATGCAGAAGTACCAGAACCTATGGTGACGGATATTATTATAAAGGCACACATGCAAGAAAATGCAGCCAAGGGGGGGGGCTTTTTCTTCCTTTTTTATGTTGGCTTCAAAATTGTTGGATTTACCAGCACACCTACATATATATGTATACAATGTACATGTAGTTGTACATGACTGTACAGTAATCATCATACATGTACATGTCTAGTCTCTGGCCCTGTAGATGGCTCAAAAAGGCATATTTTTCAATTGATTTCCCTTGCATATTGAATTTTTAGTTCCTTTCAACTGCAATATGAAAATAAAGTACACATTGACATAGAGCAAGAAAAGAGCTTGATTTTGATATGCATGTCATACTATACAAAATATGGGTTCACATACATTCAAATGGGACTTCGGTTATAAGGACACTTCGCGAATAAGGACACTTTTCTGATGCCCCGCCGAATGTCGTTATTGGCGAAGTTGACTGTACTTGTTTGTGTAGTTTTCTACTTTGCACATTAGTTAGACAGGAACTGGGCCCAATAACATAAGTTTTCAATTAGTGCGAATAGCTAAGAGCCGTATGTAAGTATTCGTCTTTGCGACAGTCGGCGCTTGGAGTGCTGAGGGCGCAACAGGATGCGAGGGTAACGCTGGCTAAAGGAATAATTTCCTATCACGTTCCATTCCTAGGAACAACAGGAGCGATAGGCTTCCTCCAGGCATGCGAGTCGTACAGTAGGAGGGTCAGACCGGGTGCAAGCGGACTTGAAAACTGATAGGTTCGGAACGGAGTACCAGGGTGTAGGACGGGATGGCAGGGGTGCAGGGGATGGTGGAAGATGCCGCTCTGCCATTTGCCTCCATGTCTCCTTGCTTTTGCGGATCCAAACAGGGTATGTTGACTGCGATAGATACTAACTGGCGAAGGAGCTCTATGACGCTTCGAATTGAGAAGTGAAGTTTGCTGAATGTGTTAGTGGGTTGGAGTTTGCAGACAATTAGAAAAACCAATGGATATACTTGAAAAAAACAGTGATGGAGATATAAGTCAACACATCGCTAGTGTTCACAAAAAATACTTTGCATGCAAACCCCTGGACACAGGGAACCCTGATATTCAGTGATATCGAGCGTTGCTCGACATGATGCAATCCCATGTCACTGCATCTTGGAAGTCGCACCATTTTCCCACCGCGGATGCACTAAGCAAGTGCTGCGCATATGTTCTGCTTAAATGTGTGTGTGTGTGTGTGACACATTGTGCCTCTGTCTGAGTATATGAGCTCAGTGGCAGCCGCAATAGTCAGAACTCCACAACCGTGTGCTCCAGTCTGACGCTGCAGGTGCAACATGGTAGCACTGAAATGTGTCAATAAACGCAAACACACGAGGTATGGTTTATGACTTATCTTTCAGAAGACAAAGTGAAAAGACTTCTTGTCCAGAGCAAAGGACAGGCAGAAAACCGTGATGCATGTGTGTACTAGTATGAGTACACGCACGAGTGTAAAAGGCAATGCGTACAACAGGCAGAACATAATCATATGGATACACCAGTGAAGATAAATCGTGACCATAACTTGGCAGAACTTGCCAAGAACTCTTGCATGCTTCAACCCAACAGATATGGCATAGCTATTACGGCATAGGTGCGGGTGGCAGCAGGCTGTGGAACACTGCTGCGTTGCCGCCTGTAGTTCCTGGGGCATAGCTGCAGACCCAATGACCGACTGACACATGGTGGACGTGGATACACTCTCCAGCTACAAGCCTACAGGTCAGACTTGGCCGGACTTCATCACTGAAGAAGAATGCAGGCCCTGGATGGAGGGGTTTTAGCTAACTGCTGACAAGCTTTCCCTACGATGACATCTCCATCTGTCAAGTCTTCACCTACGTGTAGTACCTTCACCTAGTGCTGGACAGTACACTGCTTAGGTTTCCCTCCAACGTATCGCTCGCTAGCTGGAGTGAGAGTCCTCATCCTAGTCGTCTTATATTGTTATAAGATTACAAGAAGGAAAAAAACAATAAGTCTGAAAGATTGCGCAGGCAATCTGGAACTCTCAGATTGCGCAAACAGTCAGATCGCGCGCAACATATGCTGGACTTCGCATTGCTACCGCTGGTCCTGTAGCGAATTGAGACAAAAGTGGCAGTATGTTTCGACCAGGCGAGACCAAGCGACTCTGTCACACAGCAGCACGAACAGGCTGCGAGCAACACTCCACAACAGCAGGTATTCACTTCCGACAAGCTTATTCCGTTCCATAGGATTATGGGAACTCATCGTAGGAGAGCATGTGTTAAGTGAAACGGTCGTGGATAAGAAGAGATCCACCAAATATTAATGTAAAAGATGGCATCATGGGTTTTCGCAAGGCTTGGTCTAGCCACGTCATTCTCGGAGACGAGCAGAACTGCCTTGAAGAGGGCGCCAGCTCCAGAGTGGAGTAAAGAAGTACAGTCGTGTGTCTCCACTGTGCTCTTGCATAGCAAGCGGCACAATGGTAGTATTTTGGAGAGGCTTTTTAAGGCATTATATCTCTAACATCCTATCATTACTCGCTGCTCTTTTGTCTATCTTTTGTGGTCTATTTCCACAGGTGGCGAAGTAGATGGAGGAAGGTGAGTTATACGTGGACAACTGGCACCTGCTGAGTTCTCATTCTGGATAGTTTAATGTATACGAATACACAGGCATAAACAAGCGCTCAAACCCACAGGCACACACACCGACACGCAGGCATACATACACACGCTTAACACAGGTACACATACACACTGTATTTTGCTACTGTTACTGAGCATGGGAGATCAAAAACCCTTTAGCCGACCTGGAGCCGTACCATCTCTCAGGAGGTAGCCCCGGGCTTGTTAGGTTGAAAAATGATCCAAACAAAACATTTGCGAGTTTGACAAACCAAGCCCAACATCCAATGTTTGTCATGTACGTGTGTGTGTGTGTGTTGAACATAGTAGTTAGTCCAGTTGTAGGGACCCATCTTTAACCTTTAGGCACAGAATTGAACATTAGCCACACAATGGACAGTGGTTCGCTATTATACCGAAATTCGCTAGATAAGAGTGCGTTATAAGACAGTGGAGTCGACTGTAAATCCTACAGTTTTCTGTGTGGAATGATGTTGTGCCTTGATGTCTCACTGTTACACTCTATATCTAGTATTATCTGCACATAAGTGAGTATACCCAGGTTTCAACAGTGCTCAACACCATTAGTTGTCTGATGATTGCCTTAGCATTTAGCTACGTGCATGAACCGCAGCGTTACAACGTATGTATACACAACAGAACAACAAGGACAATCAAGGTTTGTTTGCTGCTACTTTAAGTTTCATGCTTACGCAATCATCAGGCAACAACTGTTGCCTGATGATTGCGTAAGCATGAAACTTAAAGTAGCAGCAAACAAACCTTGATTGTCCTTGTTGTTCTGTTGTGTATTACGCTCTGCCTTTGTGGTGTTGAGCACTGTCAAGCACTCTGGGTACATCCTTCGGTCAACGTATGTATATATAATTGGTGGAACCATTCTTTTTGACCTTTGTGCTCTATATTATCTGGATACATTCATATTGGAGGGCAGTTAATCAAAACCAGAACGTTTTGCACTTCATTTTTACATGTCTGCAAGTAAAATGTTTGTTTGTTTGTAAACTTTATTTGAGTTCGCTTAAAGGGGAAGTTAAGGCAAAAATTAAAATTTCACCAGTTGTAGTCTTCGGGGTGCTGAGTCGAATGGTCGTGGTCCGAGGAAGCTAAGACGCTCCCTTCCTACTTGAATCCCAATCGAACTCGCGCACTTCCACCGAAACTGGGTGACTGCGCCCTACGAGATGGGGATTTGTATGCAAAATGTCACTAAAAGCGCCATTTCGTTCTTATAAAAGCACGGATGACCGCGATTGGCCCATATGTTGTAGTCTTTTGGACGCTGAGTCGACTGGTTTTGGTCCGAAAAGGCTGCGATGCAGCGTTCCTCCTTTATTCCCAATCGAACATGGTTGAACAAGCGGTCACGTGCTCCTGGGTGCCCAAATCACCTGGTCACCACGCCAGCAGGTGTCACACCAAGGTTCAACTCGAGTTCAACTCGAGTGACAGGACTGCACCCAAAAAAGGTCAAACAGGCTAGTAAGTTGTACCCTGCAGGCACGGTGACCAGGTGACTGGCGTACGCAGGAGCACGTGACCGCTTGTTCAACCATGTTCGATTGGGAATAAAGGCGGAACGCTGCATCGCAGCCTTTTCGGACCAAAACCAGTCGACTCAGCGTCCAAAAGACTACAACATATGGGCCAATCGCGGTCATCCGTGCTTTTATAAGAACGAAATGGCGCTTTTAGTGACATTTTGCATACAAATCCCCATCTCGTAGGGCGCAGTCACCCAGTTTCGGTGGAAGTGCGCGAGTTCGATTGGGATTCAAGTAGGAAGGGAGCGTCTCAGCTTCCTCGGACAACGACCATTCGACTCAGCACCCCGAAGACTACAACTGGTGAAATTTTAATTTTTGCCTTAACTTCCCCTTTAAGTTAGTTCTGAGTTCTATTTTCTAATTGTTGCTTTTTGTTTTGTTTTGGCAGAGAGGCGTGCCTGGCGAGAGTCAACAGTGGAACCATGGCACAAAGCCCTAGTGCGATTGAGCAGAGAGTGACGGAGTAAAGCCCGGAGGAGGCACAGCATGTGTGGGCGTGTGAGTGGGTGGGCGTGTGGGTGGTAGACGACAAGGATGAGGACTCTCACTCCAACTAACGAGGACTCGCACTCCAACTAGTGATTGATACTTCGGAGGGAAACCTTGATCTGTTGCAGTCAGAGCATGACTGGAATCGTTGCCAAAAGAGAAAATCTGTCCCTGTCCCGTACATCTTCAGATTTTTCATACTACTTTTGCGACGTGCTTACATGTAAATGGTACAAAATGTGTGTGTTGCATGCGTGCATGTGTGTGTTGTATGTGTGTGTTGTATGCGTGCATGTGTGTGTTGTATGTGTGTGTTGTATGCGTGTGTGTGTGTGTGTGTGTGTGTGTGTGTGTGTGTGTGTGTGTGTGTGTGTGTGTGTGTGTGTGTGTGTGTGTGTGTGTTTGCATGGAATTAGGTTGTGTGTGCTATCATACTGCGTATTGTGCAAACGGGAGCAGATCCATTCTTCTTCCTATTCTTGTCTATTGTTATCTTTTCTTTCCTCTACTGTTTGTCTGCTTGACATCTTCACCTATTCATGCGTAAACATGCTTCCCCTGTGGCAAGAGCTACATGTACACTTCAATCTCCTCTGGTCATTCACCAATATCCGACTGCCACTCGATTTCAACTCTCCCTGAAGAAATGTTCCATCAAAAAATAATCGACTTGCTGGCCGTGTGTTGTGGCACCGTGTGGATGCATGATGTCTGCCTTTGCCGGCGGTATGCTGTGGCAACGTGCTGATGCATGATGTTTGCCTTTGCTAGATGTGGGTTGTGTTGTGGCAACGTGTGGATGCATGATTTCTGGCTTTGCTGGTAGGCATTGGCGGATACTTGTCGAAAAGGTGGCAGATTCTGCTCGAAAAGCAGTGAAATTGGCAGAACCATACAAACCTTATGGCGGGCAATTCCTCGAATTCTGCTCTATTTATTTATCCACATACCAACCAAGCATGCATGAAACTTACCAGAAAAAGTACCGAATTCTGCCAATTTTCAGCCGGCATTATCCGCATATGCCTATTTGCTGGCCGTGGGTTGTGGCAGCGTAGATCTACGTGTTGATGTACAATACATGTATGATGTAGGCCCGAGATTGCACTAATGATTTGTTGGTAGGGGGGGGGGGGGAAATAATTGACCCATATGTACATGTATTAAAGAGGTTAGGATGCACATTATTATCGGGTGTTAGCGGCCGTCGTGAGTTCCCTTCGGGAACGGATACGATAATTTACTTTTTTTTTGATGCACATTATTTCTGACGTGACGTGAAAGTTCAGCTAACGTTAGTTGGCTCGCGCGTTGAAAGACAACGCGAGTGACCTGCAGCTGACGTCGAAATTTGGAGTTCTACGCCAAATTGGACGTGAAATTTCGGATCATGTCAGAAATAGCGTGCTACCCCTATACTACTGCAGTGTGGTAACCATGGTAACAGCAGTGCTGCTTCTGATTAGCCAACTCGATGGGACTTGTATTCTGCAGCCTGATCATGGGCGTGTGGTGCTCGGCTCGGCGTGTCTTCCACCATTTTACTGGCTGCTGGCTACTGTACTATGACGTTATTTTCCGTGTACATGTGCTGTAATTGCGGTAATGTGGGTAGAAAAACAGGTGTAGTGGGTAGCCGAGTGGTAGGCGCGGTGCAATTAACAAGAATTACTTTTATTCTACTTTCAGGTACACACCTGAGATATAATCGTTATTGCAAGAAGAAGCGGCAAAATAAAAAACTTTCTCTCCGGTGCTCACCTAGAGGCTGAATCCTTATTCTTCGAGTTAGCTTTCATTGCTATCCAATCTAATCTAATCTTCATCAAAACAGAAATGCGCAGCCGCTTTTATGCAGCAGCTGCCATACGCTTACATACGGAGATACACTAAATATACATCAGGCAAAGCTCCGTATTAGTTCCGTACTGCTTCCGTATTGGTCGGGCAGGGATACTACACAGGCACCTCAATTGAGATTACACCTAAAAGGCGCGTAGTCAAAAAATAAAAATGAAAAAAGCACCAGAGTACGAGTATGCCCTGTATGTGAAGAGAATGCTGGTTAGGCTTTCCCCAAATCGGTCAGCCGAAACATTCGCCGAAAACTAGATTTGTCGAACAATTGCTAAGCTTTTCGCCGATTTGGGAGGGTTCCTTTGAGAATCGCCGAAAATCTAACAAAATTTGGTGGAAAGTGCGTTCACGAACGAATGATGGTGCTGCAATCATGACCGCTCGAGCTCTCTACTTCAATACTTGTTGTACTAGCGCGTTCAGGTCGTGTGTAGGCATTGGCGGATAATGCTCGAAAAGTTTACAGTTTCTGCTCTGGCAAATTCTGCACGAACAGCAATGAAATTGGCAGAATCATACAAACCTTATGGCGGGCAATTCCTCGAATTCTGCTCCATTTCTTTATCCACATACCAAACAAGCAGGAAACTTACCAGAAAAAGTACCGAATTTTGCCAATTTTTCAGCCGGCATTATCCACATATGCCTAGTCGTGTGACTCGTGTCCTTTGACCTCCTCTCAAACAAACACTAACCATTAGGCGGACAAAAGATGGTTACTAGTAAACTCCTACATTACAACTAGTCCAGTTGTGGCCTGTAGGGCTGCATTTTCAATATCTCACCAATTTTGAAATCAATATGCCAGCAATTCTTTTCGCCGATTTTCCAATATTATTCCAATTTCGCAGCCGATTTTGGAACAATCAGCTGTTTTTGCAGCCGAATCTGATGTATTTTTGAGACGAGCGGAAAGACGAGCTGAAAGCCGAATAGGCGAAAAAAGGGCCGATTTGGGGAAAGCCTAATGCTGGCCACCCAATTCTACATTACACCCGAAACCTGATAGGACCGTGACAACGAAATTTGAATGTATCTTAAATGACATATTCTGCAGTACAGTGCATTGTGAATGAATAAACAGAGAGCTGCGAATGGACTCTTAGGCACTGAAGAATTTGAAAAGGAGCATTGGAAATGTCTACTGACTTTAAATCATCCTCAAAATTGGAAATGGGTTTGCTGTGTTCCTCCTTATACTGAGCACCTATATTTGATATTGACATACTCTACAATTCATCGACGCAGGGTTAAGCACTGGACCAACCCTTGAGAAATTTCTGTGAACTATCTTGCATTCTGTCCGTGACCATTTTTGTCTATAAATGTGGACAGTTCAATATCAATCACTGTACGTCTAATGTTATTCTCAAGGGCAATACATATCGCTTGACATGATCCACTCATCCTGATCGCATCCAAAAAATACTACATTTTCAAAAATGACTTTTCTAGTATCTCAAATGTTGTTGAGATTATTATACAGGCTTGCTCCATTTGCCATATTTTTCTCACGATTTGCAGTTCCTTTCTAGTCAAATATGTGACCGACCTTTACAAGAATATCCTGCAGACTTGCATTCATGCCGAGTAGACTCGTTCCAGTTCCCATGGTCCGTTCTTGACGGCATACCAGACACGACCAAACAGAACCGTCCGAAAAGACCCTCCTGATTGTTATGTTAACTTGCCGTTGACATGTCTTGCATTCCACTTCATTCGGAATCACCTTCCTTCTCGCCAAAAACTGCAGCGCTGACACTTTGCCGTGAATATCTTCTGCTATATCCTTCTTCGATGATTCTTCTATCATCAACTGTTCATCGTCAAGTATTGTGTCTGGTTCCACAATCCGAGGTCCCTGTAGACGCGTCCTAACAGCCATTCCTCCAGACGCACATGATGAAGCAGAGCTAACGGCTGCGGACATTGACATGGCGAAATATCACAAATCATCCACTGTTCCATTAATGCTTAGATCAATTGAGCATTTACTCTGCTTTTTTATGCCAATGCTCTAAGGAAACGTTGAGCACAATGTATGTAACATCTGTCACGTTCTTGTGTAACAATGTTGAACCAGTGATTCCAACGCATGCTGGGTGTGATGACCAACACCATGTACAGTGCTCACACTGGAACTTGCATTGGGCTGTATTAGTTGACGGCGAGGCATGAGCGACAAACTGAAATTACAGTCCAATCAGTTTATTCAGATATTATTACACTGTCAAACTGTCACGTACTGGAGGTATAAGAATTGAACTGGTGGTTCCAATGCGACCAGGGCTTGTTGTGCAACACCAATAACGCTGTTCACACTGGACCATTGCATGCAGCGATACTATTTTCAGGGCGCATCGCGGAATTCATGTGAGCTTAGGGCTGGAGACCGGTGCATTCGTTTCGTGACAACGTTAAGGGGGCAGCCTACCCATAAATTTCATATGGCATTCAATTGACCGTAACTTTGGTGTTTCTCAATGGATTTGAGTGAAATTTTCACCACACACTCCTGCCACTATGCTGGCCCTCAGGACATGATTTACAAGTTCTTGTGCCTCACTGACAGGCTTTCCAGCTCGGAAAAACTCAAATTTCCGGCATAGTGCCACGGTGTGCGAGCCACCCAGGAGCCAAACAAATGCATTTACATTTTTTTCACATTTTCGTGCTCATTCTGTTCGTGCGCGGGACCCAAACCTAGAACAAGTCCAGAAGCAGCCATGGGTGATGGGGTAGGGCCCCTCAACGAGGCCCTGGAATCTGTCACAACGGAACGAGTGGGCGTTCTCTCACACACTCCCACAGACCCAAGTCAATTTTTGAATTTTTTTAAGTTTAGCACGTGCTACGAGGTCGTACCTTTGATACAACATCCAGTGCTGGGACGTCCACAGCAAGCCATTTCCACAGCGCTGCACACCAAATCCAGGATACCCTCAGAAACCGGCAACGACTACCACTCACGTTTCACTACTGCCTAGTACTGAATCCTACCTGACTTCTTGACACGACTCAAACTTGCCAAAGTCACTAAATCAACGTCAACTACAATAATCAAGCCACATATCTGCAACGTCACGAGGGTGCTGGCAAAAGTCCTGCTGCACGGCGGCGGGCAAAAGCCCGCCGCCGTGCAGCCCAATACGTGGCTCAAAAACCTGATTTTTTGGACTTGGAGCAAAATTCTGCACACTTTCACGTGTTTCCATGATACGACAAGTTGCGCACGGTCTGGTCACATTCAAATACAGTTGTGCCAACAAATGACAGCGTGCAACAAAAAAAAATTAATCTTTCCTTGCAAGGGCACATTTTCGGCCATAACTCTTGAACGGCCGGTCAGATCGGGACACAATTTTCAGAGAATTTGCAGCTATTCATGCTCTTTCAACTGACGTAGCACTCAATATGAATTTACAAATTCGATTTTTCAGCGAATTTTTGGGTAGTCTGCCACCTTAACACACCTACTACTTGTCAAGTAGCACTCCTTAAGTTATTGTTCTAA